AATGCAGATACAACATCTCCGAATGACTAAAAAGATCACCTTACAAAACCTTTTGCTGAACTTCTGCTCCATGGAAACTTGATCAAAATGATTTGTTAATATGATTAAGATCATTTCATATTTATTTACCAATCTACAGGATATGCATAGAGGATTATATCAATTTAAGTGACTGTTTTGTTCTTTGTAAACCAGCGATACCTCAGTTTGTGTGGTGAACAGAGAGTCAGAGAGGTTTGCGTACACAGAAAGCACTGCTTTATTGACTGCACTGGACTGGACTGGATTGGTCTGGACTGGATCAGGTGGGACTGGGACTCATCAGATGAGGATGGGAGATGAGGGGGCGGGGTCAAAGTTTGGGTGGGGGGGCAGACAGGTTGCAGGTGAGGTGGAATCAAAGTGGGATGCAGCCATCATTAAGGCAACACAAACAGCATGCAGATACAGTCACAGGAAACATCGTCATCATCATCATATTGCTTTTCAAAGTCTCGCTTAAAACATTAAAATTGTACAAAAAGGAAGAAAATAGGTTTTTCGCACTAATGAAAAATACATTTTTTGATTTTTCCCTCCTACAAAGAAGATTCTAATACAAGAAAATAAATATAGCAAAAAAAGCCAAAAATAATTTAAAATAGCTCTTCTTTTTCATATATGTTCAATAGTTCTCTTTGCTATTAACAAATGGCACAACATTCTTTGAAACAAAGAATACAGAAGGATAAACTCCTGCAACATTCATATTATTGTATTGAAGAACCGATGCAGAGTGGAGGAGAAACTGGACACGACAGCAGAGATTTGAACACTTTTTATAAGGACAAATAAGACAGGAGGAGGAGGAAAGGCCTGTGTCCAGCTCTGCTCTGATTGGACGATGCTGTATTCAAATAGTGCCTATGTACGACCAATGTGATGCAAAACAATCTCATGTTGCAGAATGATACCCAATAATGTTTACAAATGTCATGAGAGAGCAGAGAGAAGGGAGAGAAACTGTTCAAACAAGAAGCAGCTTAATCAGTTAACCTTGTTTCAACAAAAGGAGGACATCCCAAGTGCTTAAAATAACATATTAACATAAAAATCGGATATTCATTAGTGCTTAGAGGAAAAAGTCTGTGACAAAGAGTGGCTGAAATTTTGCAAACCTAAACTCAACTGAATTCTTGTTTCGTAATGTGATTTAAACCTGAGGGAGAAGACTTTGTGAATCGCAGGTCAGGAGAGGGAAGCGAGATTTTTTTGTTGTCGTTACTAATGAGTCAGAAAGTGCCTCCTCTGCACTGAGGAGAGATACAGAGTAAAACGGGAGGAGAAAGTGAGTAAAAGCAGAGAGAGACATGAGGTGGAGCTGAGAGTAAGACAGAAAATGCCAAAGCAACACAAAGTTAAAGAGAAAGAGAGATTGACCATGAATAACGAGGAGAGAGAGAGGGAAATGCGAGAGATTACATCCACAGGAATCTGTTTTGGCTCTCCATCCACACTAAGCTGGTGTTTTTCTAAAAAACTAAGCTTTTACAAAACGATGTGAGAGAAACTGAGTTTTTTAAATAAAACGATGATGTAAGCCCGGTCCGGGGCAACTTCCTGTTGCCTACAACACTCCCTGTGATCACTCATTTTCGATGTTAATACATACAAACACATAATAAATGCGTTGTCGTCATATTTATGCTGATTTTGTCAAATGAAAATTCTTTTTTTTCTTTCTAAAAATTCTGATTCATCTGATTAACCCTATACCCCGACCAATGGGTTTCCCGTTTACAAGATGTTTAGGAAATTAGAAAGCCAACTAATGCATGTATGACAGATCACACATTTGCCTTCACCCAACTAAAAATGCTCTATTTAAATTTTAAAGAAACTGGCAACTGAGTGTGTGTATGTTAAATGAGAACAGCTAAGCAATAGGTGGTCACAGAGAGCAGGAGGGGACACAACAAATGATTAACCAGAAGAGACTGAGCAGAGTAACCAGACTGTGATGCAGTTTTGTTGCAAAGAAGAGACAAAGGCGACAATATTTAGCGGTTTTCTTATTATTCAGGCATTTGAGTGTTGACAGAGGTCTTTACGAATACGACCTGAAAACGCTAGTGTGGACTCGCATTGTCTTACTTACAGAGTTTGTAAAATTAGCTAGCTTAGTGTGACGAAGCCTAATAGAGAGAGAATGTTCCAGTTACTAACAGACGAAGAAGACGAGGAGAAAGAAAAGGTATTCCTGTACCTTCTGCACACATACATACACACATCATGTGTTATCAGAATAACACACACAGAGGGACTGCACTTTCCCCAGTTTATATAATCAAAACATATTTTCATTCCCTGCATGTATCAAAGATCAAACAGTGGAGGCAAATAAATACATATTTGCCTCAGAGGAAGAAGATAAACAGTTGTTCTGTGTGTGCAAAATAGAGAAAGAAGTCAGATTACAAAAACAGTGAAGAAGTGAGGAAGGAGATAAAATAACAGAAACCAGGAGAGAGAAAAAAGGAGAGACGGACAGAGCTGTGAAAGGAAGAGTGAGAGAAAAAGCAGAGACAGAAATACAGTACAGAGGGCCTCTTAACAAATGGTTGTAACCAGCAACTTAAATTCAGATTGTGTCTAGACACAATTCATCCAGATTACATTTACACCTGGAAGTAAAGTGTCTCTAGTGCCTGTGCTGAAATCACTCTTTTTGTCATAAAACAGATTCCCACCAACGTCCTTTTGTTATATTTACACTTTGTGTGTATAGTTCCCAGCTGAACTTAAATTTAATGTTGCTTTGACCATCAGCAGGAGACAGTAGCATTGGCCAAATGCATCTTCAGTGTGTCTCGATGCATTTACACCTCAATTTGTCTGCGGTGATATATGTCTGAGCAGAGCCTGAACCTCCCAGGAGCCTAATGGTAAAACCAGATGTAAAGGGAGGGTGAATAAATTACTCAGATTGTGAGGATGGAACAATAAAAGGGACTTTAGCAATTATTCCACCAAGGTTTCAAGTTAAATTGCCAAAAATGATATAAAAAAGGATTCAATTCCAAGAGTGGATTGTTATTGGTCTTAACTGTTTGGCAAATGTTGGGGAATTGTATGTTTATGTTTAACAATAACCGCAGTCTATAGTGGTCACGAACAGATAAGTTACGAAAAATCATCATTTGCTTGGCTGATCGTGATATTTTAATAATAAAGCTAGGGTTATTTTTCTTACTGTCAACTCCGCAAACCCAATGAAAAGACCATTTTAAGACTTTCTGCGCCAGATAGTTCAGCAGGACCACCTGCTAGGCTGTCATCGCTATGCATCTTTAAAAAAAATACAGCTACGGACAGTACCCGTCAGTACGAGGTGCTTCAACTAAGTATAACTTAGACATCCACATTTAATAATCAGTTACAGGACACTAACTCGTCTGCTCCTGCTGTCTGTCTCTTAACATCAGCTTGATATCTGCAGACTGCTGCTAGCTAGCATTAGCTGCCCAGATACAGACCGAACAAAGTAGAATCTGCACGCTGCTCGGTCGACTCCCAGTGCTTCAACTCTCTTAGAAGAGTACATACCTCCCCAACAAGCAGAGCTAATTTTAGTCCCTCTCGTAGATGTTACCATTAAATTCAAAACAACTTAGCCAGACCCAGCTAGCCTCCTAAAGTCACGGCACTATCATAACTGTGGCAGGTGTGCATATAGCGCACCTATTCATGGGTCAGTTTATGGGACAGTTGTATCGTAGCCAGCTATGGTCTACGTTACTTTGTGAGTGAAAATGTTTGCAATTTGTGCACCTTGTAAAAACCTTTCAATACTGTCCTGAGATTTTACACCTAGCAACCCCCCCCCCCCACCAAATTTTAATTCTAATTGATTTGATAAACTGTCCTAGCCCATTTGTTCCTACTGAAGATGTAAATATTTAAAAACAGCTCATGAATATATAGTTTTATTTAAAAAAAATTTTTAGCAAACGTTACTCAAAAAGGAGTAAATGGTGCATTTGTTGGGGACTATTTTCAGGTGCGGATGAACACACATTTGGTGCACTAGTATTTATAGCAGCAGGATGGTGTATGTGGAATTGAGTTAAAATACACTACAAAGGCAGTTTTCATGGTAATGATGGAAGGTCAATGCAACGGTTTTTGGACAACAATGGAGGTCTATGCCACAGACAGATAAGATTTTTTGGATACAACTTTGTCATACTTGTTAGTAGGGTTAATTACTTGCTGGTTTTGGTTTCGCAAGCTCTATCTTTTTATTCTGTTGGAATACAAATAAATGCATTAACTAACCACATACAACCAAAGAGGGTGATTTCTATTGAATGTCATGGTCAATTTTAAAATACTCCACAAAGCTGAATTGTTTTCTGGGTTGGTCATGCCATTTCATGCATTGTTTCCGTTCTGCTTTCCTGACTCGATTGTTACAGTTTGTAAAGGAAATGCTTGGATGGAGACCCGGCTGTATAGAGACAGAGAGAGAGAGAACAGAGAGAAAACAAGAGATGAGGAGGCGAAAGGGGAAGGGAAGGGCCTGGTGGTGTTTATATTAGCTGCTTGTTAACTTGACTGTGCGGACAGGCTGCAAACAGAACGCAGGGGAAAGAACAAGTTGTACTCTTTCTCTGACTGCTTCTCTGGCTCTGGTTCGGTAAACGTCTCCCTCCTCTCCTTTTTCTTTCTATCCATCTCTCTTCTCTCGCTCTCTCTCTCTCTCTCTCCAGGCCAGAGCAAAGCAGGGTGCAATGTTTTCCCCTCCTCACACATACTTCCACAACACGTGCCTGTCATTATTTGTCCTTAAAGCTACAGACATCCTTTTTTCTTCTTGTACATTTTTATTTTTCTCGTCCTATGCTTCAAAAGCGATTCAAAAAGAGCCATGTGCCAGCTAAGGAGGCTGATCACCGGAGAGGAGTTGTAGGCAGGAGGGACATGACAGGAGGAGTGGTTTTTTTTTGGGGGGGGGGGGGGGGGGGGGGGGGGGAATTCAGGTTGGAGGAGAAGAGGGGGGGAAAGTGAGCAGGGAGGAGGAAGATGTTGGATGGCAGAGGCAGAGTAAGGTGCACAGTTTGTGCAGATGGGAGCTTTAGTTTAAAAAAAAAAAAATTGCTTTGAGCCGCTCTGGAGGCAGATGTGATCTCACAGTTTGTGTTGCATCACAGTGGGCGGAGCCAAGAGTATTTCTGGCTATGTGATATTAGACTGAAGCCCACTCAAATGGCCCTCTCGTTTTGACAATAAAATATCAGAAAATATTTCTCCCAGTTCATTGTGATGTTTTCAAATGGCTTGTTTTGTCCAACCAATAGTCTAAGGATTTTTATTCATTTATAAGAGCAGCATCAAATTCTCAAATCTGAGAAGCTGGAACCAGAGAATATGTTTGCTAAAAAAATTAAATAACTAAACCAGTTATCATCAAAATAGTTATTTTCCTGTTGTTTGACACATTGTTGCAGCGCTGAAAACAACTTAAAACAATTGCTTATAACAGTAGCTGCAGCTAATTGACTAATCATGGGCTCTAGTAATCTGCTTTTATTTGTCAAAACAAGATTTTCTCGCACATTTCTCGTCTGGTAATGCACCTAATTAAGCTAGTTTACCTAACTGACCTTCCACATTCAAACTGAATTGCCTGTATTGATCTTGGTATGCCAGTTGGCTACTCTGCAAGGTCATCAATGAATGAGAACAGGCCATCCGATTCACATTCTTTGATTCCAACAGTCTAGCCTTAACTTGACAAGTGAGCTTGTTTCTGCCTCCACAGCAGCCCCGTTTGTGTGACTAAACCTCCAATCTGTGCAGTGTGTCTGTGTTGTGGATGTTTGAAACCTTGAAGCCATAGCTTTGCTGTAACAGAGAGGAGAGCAAAGCGCCAGTAAAAACAGAGGAAGCAGATAATGAGTCGGCTTTCTAGTTTGATACGAGCTACGGCGGCCAGCTAAAGCGTTACAAAAGAAATAAACAGCTTCCAAATGCTTTTTCAAAACACAGAAAATGAAAATGTTTCTAGTAGTAGTAGTTGAACAGTATTATACATTATTGTAGATGTGTATAAACTCCAGCGATACGCATGTAGGTAAGGTGGGTGTGTTTGTATGGCTGGTGTAGGACAGTAAAGCAAGGAATAGGCAATGGTATCAGAAACTGGAAGCACTGAGCAGTCATTGGATCAGTCTGCATTTCCAAATGATTAAACAGTGACAGTTCCTTTGAACCATTTTTTACACAGACCATCATTAAATTTAACTTTGGTCGAGATTTCTGTCAAAAATCTAAACCCAATGTACATCATCTGCAACAAGCGGCATTGTCGGTAACTCCGCTCACATGTTGTTACAGAGATAATTACTGCTTTCACTTGAGCCCAGCAGGCATTTTGAGTCCCCAGACTTGTTTAACTAAAATGGCAAAAAAATGTGGCCTGGAAGAGAAGCTGAAGATTGAATTAAATTTATCATCACAAAAGAATCTAAAGTGTTTGCCAATCCTGGCTTTACTGACCTGAGGACAGCCCTCAAACCACTTTCTTATTGGATGAAGGAGCAACCACAGAGGAAGAGAGACATCCTATGAACAGCATCCTGGTGCCCTTCTGGTTCCTCAAAACAACCTCAGGGCAATGATCAATTGTTGTTTTAAAGTTGTGTAAATTAAACTTTTTCTTCTAGTATGCGCAACACCTGAAATTGAAGTGCTGTTTTTAACAGATGATTTTGTTGCACAAATTCACTTGTACAACAGAATTTACCAGCATTTTGTTGCTGGATGGTCTTAACCTGCCTCCCTGCTGATAAAAAGCTTGAAACATGATCTCTGCTCAGCGGAGGAAGTTGTGAGGAACCCAGCCCTGCTGGTGCAGTGATGTCTTTCCAAGGGGTTTTACAACAGTGTCGGTACAGTAGACAGCAGCTGTGTGAGGTTCCAACTGCCTCAAGCAATCAGTGTTGGCCTTTAACCAGCCTTTCAGCAGAAGTCTAGGTGGAATGCATCACTGTGTGTAGGTGTGTTTCTGACCAGCTTATTTCTGTGGCGCAGCACTCATGCCAACTCCAACAAACTGTCAAACATGCACCAGCTCACCACTTAGAAAACGGTATGGTTGAATATTCATCCATTATGCACAATGTCTTAACCATGAACCAAGAACACAACCTTCAATATTCCACTGGATCTTCTGCTGATATTGACACTAATGCTTCACACTGAGGCAAAAAATGTAAACGCCATGACTGATATTACAGATTAAACCCAAGAAAGAAAAGAAAAATCTAATCTGGATATCCGACCTGACAGAGTTGCAAAATTCAAAGATCATCAGAGCACATTTCAGGCTGTGAGCCAACACCCACACCAGCGTAGCACACAGAGGACAGCAATGCTTTGAAATTGTATTCTAGTGGATATTGATAAAAGAACCTGCAAAAGACTCCAGTCTACAGTATCTACGAAGTGGAAGGAGAGGGCATTGAAGCCACACTGTAAATATAGAATAATAACCAGTTAGAGTATGCCAAGGCTGCACAGTATCAAGCAACAAAAAAATCAAATCTGCAATTTGCCTGACAAGGTACTATGGTGCTGTTCTTGGGTTAAAATCTGACTTTAGAAAAAGCAACTCACCGAACTACCTCCACAACTTTCTGTAGAGGAAATTCAGCACAAAAGTGTCAAATATATTTTTCTTTCCTGCTTGTGCTGTGCAGCCTTAGCATTTGCTACTACATGTTAAGGCCGTTAATGTGAGGCCTTGTCTAATACCACTGTCTACAAAGTCAGGCTACTCTGAACATTGAATATTGAAACCAAGATTACATTTTTCAGTCTTAGCAACACATGAACGGTAACAGCCACCGAGTGGAGGATTTTGTGGGCCGTAATGGTACTTTGCCACATCCTCACTTCAAAACACAAGCTTTGTTGCGGTTATTGTTGTTGTATGTGTTGTTATGGTCATTTCCATGGGGGTTGTAATAATGGTAGCCAACGTAGAAATCCTAAATTTCTCCCCCTGTTCTGTATGTATGGTGTTTTACAAATTCGGCAACTGCTTTAGACAAAAGTTTGCACATTTCAACACAAAACCCTGCCTTAGGATTTTTTCCCCATACTTTGCCTCTTTTATGGTAAAAAAGAGACTGGTGTGGAGGACTAACAATGTGAATCTTCTACGATGGCTACACCTGAAGGACAAAGGAGACAGAGATGCTGCGCTGTCACCAGTAATAATACTCTCCTGCTGTTAGGGGGTATTTCACTCTGAGTAAGCTCATACTTCCTGATGCAGTTAGGACCGCATATACATAAAAAACTAGTCATCTTGTACATTATAACCCTGTTATACCAGTGTGTGAGCTGTATGTTGTGTGTTCAGTTCAGCAGCATTTGGCTTTTTTCTGAGGGGGGTTAAAATGTGTGAGTCTGTGTTTAACAACCAGCCCATTACTGAGGCAACAGGCTTTTTCTACGTTAACCTCCTTGAATGGAGATCTGGGAGAATCCAGGTTGGGTTTATTGTTGTTGGTGTTGTTGGTGTAGTAGAATTAACAGTGCCCCCTGTAATGGAGGAGTTCACATAACACCACAGCGTTTGTGACTGAACCCTATGGATCTTTGTCAAACCAGGTGGAGATGTGGATTAAACCGAGCTGACCTGGGCAGCGCTGGCAGAGTTGTCTGACATCCTTATCTAACATTCTTCATCTTGAAAACCAGAGACAGAGCACGTGTACGTGTGTTTGTGTAGATAGGATGTAAATATGCTGCCTTGATACACAGATCTATTCTTTGGCGTGGTCACTTGAGAAGACAGGTTAGAAGCTGTCCATACAGACATAACAGAGGAAGTAGATTGGACTTGCGCCTCTATTTAAGTGTCTGTTCATCAGGCCTGGGTCAAGCAGCCCTTAAAATCATTTGTGATGCTGTTTTTCACCCTAATTTGGAATCAGATGGGTGGGGTCTTAGCTGCAAGAAAGCTGAGAAAGTGAAAAAGTCCTTTTTTTATAGTTGACCACCGAGCCACTATTATCTAACCTGTCCCACCCATCTGCAAATGCAATCAAGTTTAAATGAGCATTACTTATCGATTGAGACTATTAAACCCAGGGCTGACGGTCATATAATCATACTGAGAGGAGGAACATGCTCAGTAGTAGTCGTGTAGGAGTTCAAACAGTGAAGCTTGCCAAATAAGGAAGTTTCTAGACACACATCACTTTTTATATATATATATATGGTATACGATATATACGTCTTACGTTGCTTTTTCGATAAATGTTTTAACCTTTTCTTCTTTTTTTTTTTTTTTTAGTTTTTTAAACCCCTGAGAATACCATGGACTGCTTTAAGTACAAAATACAACTCTCTGAGAGAACAACAAAAACTTTTTTAGAAACAAATTTACAAACAACTCAATTCAAGAACTTAAGAGCGCAGGCCTCTGAAGCTGAGTATTACATGTGTCATCATTCATCTAACAGGAGAACCGGTGCAACCGAGCCATCAGTTACGAAAGCTTGTCCACGTCAAACTTATGTGGCAGCCATGTTGGTGCCATAAATCCAGCTCAATGCTTGGCTGAATAAAACAGTGTTGGGCATCTTAGTACGTCAATATATTAAATTGCATAGATACACATGGTTGATTAAGTATGACTAACTCGTTTCTCTGAATGCCTGTTTCCTGAAAACTGCAATGTTAACCTTGGTGGCTTTATATAGTAACCATAATAACTGACTTTTGAGAGGCTTCACTACCTAGAAATCGTCCAGTGATATGGATCCACTGCACTCAGGATGCTCATGTTAACCAGCATAGTGACTGTTTTATATAAGGAGGTTTAGGGGGACAAAAGGGTATGGGGAACCCTCAAGCTGTTATGTTATTTGTAATTTCCAAGATGCTCATAAAACATGTTTTTCCACTCTTACGTTATGATGACAGCTGAGACAGCCAAGACCGCAAGTTGTGGTTGAAAGCTCCAAAAGTTAGTAAGTGGAGCTTTTGAGTTGAGGTCACTTGCTTTATCACATAACCTCAACTCAAAAGCACACGTGCTTTATCCAGTTTTGTCTAATCAATTCTCCAAATACCAAATGCCGCAGTGACAGGGAGGCTCTTGTGTTTCTGCCCACCTTTGTGATTCAGCCCAAAATGTAGCTGTATTTTTACACGAGAAACTTGAATAACGAAGCATTATTCATTCATACTACTGAACTGATTGTTGACAGAGGAAACAGACTACACAAAATATAAAAAAAAAATCTGTTGAACAAAAGTTGAACAATCTGCTAGCACGCTAATGTTTTATTGTCTCTGTTTTTCTTTTCTCCATGTGTATCTATTCTTGCAGTCGGCTCGCTCTCAGAGGCAGCGACATGGTGCTCACAGTGTGACCTGGACAAACTCCGTTTATTGATGGCTCTGGACTGCAGTGATCTAGTCAGGGGGGGCACAGAGTACAGTAGGCAGCTCTTTGCACTGATAGTACGGTGTTGCTCTGCTTTGCTAATTGTTGCAGATGCTTTGTTGATTAATGGCAAACGCTGCATTTACATCCTTGTTTCAGGCACTAGACAATTGTTAAGGTGACAAGGAGCCCAATGCTGGCTACACCTGGTAACCAATCCAACAGGATTTCCTTTTGGTTTGATTGTTACAAATCCGATTGAGAAACGACTGATTGATCAACTTATTGATTGTTTGCTTGTTTGGTTGAGTGAGTGAGAAGGTTGGGGGGTGGGGGTTTGAGGGGAGGTGGGGCACAGGGGCAAGCGACAGAAGGCACAGAGTTTCTACGATTTTTATCCAAAGATTCAGGCTAAAAAAAAAGAAAGAAAAAAAAACCCAGAACAGAATTAGGAAGAATTTGAAAGCAGCTGACAAGAGTCAGATCAAATAAAAAGACAGAAACGGCTGTGATGGGAGCAAAGGGATTTGCTTATAGTAGTATGTGTGTCAGTATGTCTGTGTGTTTGTGTCTCTGTGTGACAATCTGAATGAGCACCAGGGTTGGGGTCAATCTATTTGCGATTCAAAAGATGGATAACAGTTTTTTTTTTAGTCTGTGATGATAAATTTGAGAATGACGGCTTTAGTGTACATTTTACAACTGAGTCAGCATGATGAGAACTGACCCCAACCCTGATTATGCATCTATTATACACACGAGTGCGTACGTTACAGCTCTTATGACTAGCTAGTTGTGCTTTTCAAGGCTGAATACATGTTGTCCCATGTCACCCTCTGTACATATTCAGACTAGCTCTGTTGTGAAATTTTCTTTCCACTGAACATATTCAAGAAATCAAGGACTTGTTGGATGCATCTCAGGCCATAAAGACCAGGAGCGAAGCAGACCCTGAAACCAGCTTGAATAATAATAATAATAGTAATAATGCCCCGAAGTGTTTGTTCCCAAGTCTGGCAGATACCACAGACATGAGGCCAAAAATGGGTACTTCCAACGCCCAGAAACAAAATGAATCTGGAAAACAAAACAAAAAAAGACTAACGGTAATGTTTGTTTCCTATTTTGTTTAATGTGTCGCATTTTGTGGTAAGCTAACGACAAAGTACGATCCGGTGGAGAAGCTTTACTGTACGACAGGCAAACAGCTACATTCAGATTCACCCCCAAAAACAAAGCAGGTAAGAGCTGAAGAGATTTTCCACTGGTAAATGTGACAGGGATTGGCTGAACAACGCCATCCAGCCATGTTTTGTAGACTTTATACGGGGCACAGATGGGGAAACAATTAGCCAGCTGGACACTTCTTGGATAACTGTGTGTGTATGTGTTTGTGTGTTAATTTGAGTCTCAGTTCTTTAGGATGCCAGCACGCTCCTTCTCAGCAGGTCCTCGTTCCCAGAATGCAACTGCGGCAAGCGGAGTTTGCGTCCGCCAGAGCGTGTGTCTGTATCACTCTGCTCGCCATCAGAGAAGTACCCGTCAGTTTCAGCAGCGTCCAGCAGGGACGATTCCTTTCCTGTGAGTGGCAAGTCCACATGCCCCAGCCCTGCTATGCCTCCTCCTCCACTGAACCCCTTCCCTCTGGATTTACCCTGGCGGGACAGACGGAGACGTGGGGCCCCGCCACGTAGAATCGCCCCTGTGTCAGGCACCGTGACACCGGGGCTAGAGGCCGGAGGTGGTGATGAGCTCGCGGTGAAACCAGATCCAGCCCCTGACGCAACACCATTCCCTGTGTGGACGCTGTCCCACCAGCCGCGGTCCTCCGAGATGTGACAGGAATCCATTTTGGAGATGGGTGGCTGCGGTGGAGGGTCCCTGTGCAGGTCAGAGCTCCTGGTCTGGTGGTGATGAATGTGGTGGTGGTGCAGGGCCTTGGAGGAGCCCCTGGACCTTTCCCCTCTCCGGCCCACATGGCTGGAATTATCCTCCGCCACACTCTCCCAGAGGCTCTTTGCAGTGGAGGGGCTGCTGGCAGCGGAGGCGGCTGCTGCAGACAGGAGTGTTTGAGGCTGGGTGGGGGTGGTGGTTGCCGGGTGTCCACGAGCATGGGGCTTGTTGCCCCCTCGTGGTTTGCGGCCCAGCTGGGGTGTTTTCCAGGTGGACTGCATGGAGTTCTCCATCATAAGGTTTAGCAGGCTCTCCTCGCCCTGCAGGAGCTGAATCAGAGGAAGAGAACAAGAGAGGAGGGAAAGAGTTGAATCAGTTCACATTTAAAGGTTAACACAAAATGTTCAATATATATCTGGAATGTTTTTTTTTTTTGCAAAACAACAATTAATTTGCCTGTTGCTCAGGTTTCTGGTTTTGAAACCTGATTCTTGCCTGTAATTTTTTGGGGGGAAAAATAAACTCCCCACCCACCTACACCTACCCACATTTCCATCAGCTCAACAATGGAGATGTGAGCAACTGATTTCACAAGACATTTTGTTGTCAAGCAAAAAAATAAAATAAATAAAAATCAGCATTTCATATTGTGGTGTTTAAGCTCTTCATGAGATGATTCTGTATCTCTAATTTGCTCTATTGTAAAAAAAAAAAAAACTAAAAAAAAAACAGTTTTGTTATTAATGGCAACTACAGGCCTGTGTAACGTGGGACCTTTTGGGAAGTCACTACTTCAAAGATCTTTATTTTTTCAGATCTTTCTTCTTAAAGATATCAGGTTTTCATATTAACATCTCATTCTGTTTTACAGAAAAAAATGACTGTGTTTCTGTATTTTTATTTTTGTTCCTGAACACAACCCTTAAACAATGGAGTTATATTATGCATTCTGGTTGGAGCCCCCTGCCAAACAATACACAAACAGAGCACATTCCTGAGGAAAACAGCAGGTCAGCCACAGTGCAGTGCTGCTCTGACCATCAAATCTCTCATCGAACTTATCAACCTACTATGAGAAGTGAGTAAAACTCACAAACTCCAGTTATATAAAGATTCAATCTAAAGGAATTGGTCAAGAGTCAAAATGTTTCTAAATAAAAGGTGTTTGAAGGTGGTTTCCAGTGTGAAGGCTTAACTCTTATCTGTGGGTTTGTGACATCTGACAAAAGTGGAGAACTTTATGAGGGTGGTTTTCAGTTTGGGGAAACTTAATGCCCTATAATAAAAAGCAAACAGTCTTCTTTTCACTCCTCAGAATTATTCAATGCAACTTTAGAAGATAATAACATCCAGGTTTTAAAACCACAGTGCAATAGCTTATGTCAAGTTATGCCAAGCCAATTTTAATTATACAGCCCAAAATCAGAAATTGTCCTCAAAGGGCTTGTAAAATGTGCTATTAGAGCAGCAAGGGAGCAACTGCAGAAAACAGATGTGTTGATTTTGATAGCATTATAAACTTAAATACCTAAAAATTAAACACTACTGCTCTGGCTGTTGACATTGACCACAATGTCACAGGAATGAGCGTTGAAACACTTTGCTAAGTTACTTTTGTGGACAGTTTGCATGGGAGCTTTGATGTCAGCAGGATCAATAAGCCTTCAGTGGAAACAAAGAGCTTACATAAAACATAAATCTCTAAACAGGCCATGAATATACAGTTTAATTAAAAAAATAAAATAAAATAAAAAAAGACTACATCATTTCCTAAAACAGCCAGGCACTGTAGTTTTTAGCGGATGGTAATCAAACTGTTGTGAATTTAATAGTTTTTGGGCCAACAGCTAAGCTCTCTGGCAGAGGAATATCAGGTTAGATATCAGGCTACAGTCCCACAGGAACTATTTGTTAGTAGGATTAATTCATTGTTGGTTTTAGTTTTTCATTGGACCTGTTGATAATAAGATTAGTATAGAATATTCTCACACTAAACTTTAAGCTGTTGGTATTCTATGAATTATCTTGGCTAACTACTGAAAATCCCTCACCCTATTGTGGCAAACATAAATCATAGAGTACAATGTATCCATGAGTTATTTCTCTTTTTTTGTGTCGGATGTGCTAACTTATTCATTAAACCAAAGCTGTTATTCGTTGGTTGTAGCAGTGGTCCATTTTACCTGACTGTGAACACTGACAACACAAACTGGGTTGAGCAAAATGTTTGACTTAAAAAGTAATGTTCTTGGTTGTTTACATGTAAATTTCAGCACACCATGAAGCAAAAATTAAATTATCTGTGTATTGTGTCATGGATTAAGACATGTTATTAAGTTTGAAACAGTTTACTTCTCACAAAGATGCTCTGCCTACACATTTTTATCCTTTTGACAACCTCAATTTAGTCTGGATTTTGTCCTTTTTGTCCTCTAGTCAAGTCCTCGTCGTTGACTAAGAAGAAGTTTTTGACAGCAAATTTTATGTTAACTTTGGATGTCTGTCTCAGTCATGTCTGTAGGCAGAATAGTTCCTTATATGGCTCCTGGCACCAGTTTTTTCCACCAGTGAAGTGGACTGGGATTCAGTTCAAAAGGTGCTGTCTGCAGGTATTGGTGCTGAAATGATGTTCAGCTCATTTTTTATTATATTTATAGACCTATATATGAATGAGTTAAATCCACATTGGAAATCCATTGCACCAATCCATTGCTGCATTATCAAATTCATGTCTACTGAATGTATCAGTTATCATTATATTACAGTCAACTCAGAAATAGCAGAGGCATCACTTTGCAGGTTTCTTGTTGCTGAAGCCCTACCTGGTCGGAGAGCAGGCGGCCGCTCTTGTCCCGATGCTGGGCACCCAGGGCCCACTGGCTTAGCATGTCATCAGCAGTGATCTGAACCGACTGGGCGAGCCAGCTATCGAACAAAGAGTTGTCCAGTGGGAAGGACTTTGACAAACCTGAGGGAAGGGGAAGGGACATAAGGAGGGAGAGAGGAGGATGAAGGGAGGAAGAGATGGATGATATCAAGGCAGAGACAGTAAGCAGAGGTGGCAAAGTGGGGGACAAGAATAAGGGCAAGAACGGAGAGAAAGAAGAAAAAATAGACAGGTGAGGAGTGCAGCACATTTTCATAAATAAAATAAAAATACAGAATACACTGTACTAAAGGCGTCAGTCGATTTAAAGATCTCTCAACTGAAGTCAAGAAGTAAAAGGCATAAATCGAGCCGGAGCACCAAGGCTTTCCACTGCAATGCAAGACTTTTGTGCCAAACCTTAAATCCCACAGTTCTGTTAAATACAGGGTTAGCTTCAACTCGCTTAGTCGGTCCACTAAAAAATGACACGATTCAAACAGTAATGTTTGAGCTTGGATTTTCTTTTCTTTAAAAACTGGCAAAGAACAAGGTGTTTTTTTTTTCAAGAACACATTATCATTTTTAAATGTTAAAGACAAGCCGATACAATATAATGCAAAGGTGACTGGTGGACAAAACCTGCTAAAAAAGGATACATATGATGACATGAATGCATAGAAAGTAAAGATAGCATAATGCATCCTACCTAAACAGTACAGAGCTGTTTGAAATCACATCTTCCAGTTTTGTACCATGAAGCAATATAACAGGTTTCCGTAATGTGAGTTGGTGAAACACAATATTTAAAGGCAAGTGGTGGCTGCATATGCAGCCTTGTTTCTTTAAGTTAATTATACCAACATCTTTCATTCAAAATGAATAGAATCAAAAATGCAATGCAACATCTCCAAATTGATGTTAATCTCTCACACAGCACCTCTAACACAACACCCAACTTGACACAGTGAAATTCACAGTATGTAGCGATAAGCTTCAAATCTAAACATGCTGTTTCTGTCGCTTCATCAATAATGAACATATAAACCTATTCTTTACAGCAGAAATCCTGTTTCCTGTCCCCTTCCCCACACTCTGGGGTGTGTGTGTATATAATTAGGAGATTTACATGGCTCCTTTTCTATCATTGTGGGCTGTGAAAGTGCTGTCAAAGCACTGCGTGTCTGTCTGCAGCATTTTAGCTTTTCTTACTTTGACGCACGCACGCGCGCACACAGACACACACAATGCAGAGAGACTTAAGGAGAACAGAGAATGGGGGGTGGGATCCATTAGCTCATGTACTTCTTCTCTCCTGTTTCCACAGAAGAGGGTGCCCACATTTTGGCTTGCCAGTCTTTCACTCCTCACATATTTACATCCTCTCAAATCAGAATCCAGAATCTTTTTCTGAAACTCTGTCAAAGTCATTTATGTTTAGCTTTTTGACAATTTTAAGTACTAAAGGTTATAAATAACTTAAAAATTAAGAACCAAAACTCAAGTTTTGCCAAATTACATGTTTGTCCAGAATCCGAAATGGAGTGCACTAACTGTTGCTCTAAGCTAGCTGGCAACAGACACAACGACTGTGTCTGTGGGAGTGTGTGTGTGTGTGTGTGTGTTCAACTCTGACTGAACAGAGAACTCAACAGTATTTTCATTATTTCCCTACAGTCTATTCTATAGTTTCAATTATGAAACAGATCCATGTAAAAGTAATGAAATTTAGTATTCTTACTTAACCAAAAACAACCATCCACCTCTGCACGAGAACACTATCATATCCACTTTGGGGATCAGCTGCCTCTTAAAGAGATATTGTTGACAAAAACCTGCACACAGACACATTATGAAAAATACAGACAAGTGTATGCAGATGGTTCTGGTCTAAGCTTCTTTATCTCATTTCTTTCCCCTACTGTCTTTCCAGGCTCCCTGTAAATCTTCAGTTCCTATAATGATCTGCCAAGCAGGACGGCAGGAGGTGCTGTTAGGGTGGCTTTAACACAAGCTATCTTCCACACTCACACACAGCCGGCCGTTTCCATGACGCAGCATGTCTCTGCAGGAGCCGAGAGAGCTCTGAGGGAGAGAATAGGTGACGGGGGTGTGGGGGAGGGCAGTGAGGAAGTGTGAGGAAGACCGAGGAGAGAGTAGTGGAGTGAGGAAGGACAAAGGGAGACCTAAAACATGCCACTCTTTAGTCTGTAGCTATTTTTAAATTATATCACTTCTTGTACATCCAGAAAATATAGAGACAAGAATAAGAGTCTAAAGCAATGCTAGCAGCTCTGTGTGGCTGTACTGACACACAGCAGTGCTTTGAGCTAAGTGCTAACACCAGCATGCTAACACACTGACAATGCTAACATGCTAGTGTTTAGCACAATCTTAGTTTACTATGTTAGCATGCTACATTTGTAGTAGTACAGCAGAGGCTGATGGGAATGTCATTAGTTTTGCAGGTAACTGGTCATCACCAGTGTTGGGAGTAACACGTTACAAAATTAACACAATTACAGTAATGTATCGCTTTTTGCTGTAACGCAGTAATGTAACACATTTCTAAAAAAAACTGTAATATTATAGCCGTTACAATCTCAGTAATGTGCGTTACAACGCACTTTAACCCGAAATTAAGAGTTTTGTTTTTTTAATGATTAACCCACACAGAGAAACATTTCAGCACTGGAAAAACAATCAGATTGTAGGCATGGTGCAAACTACTACTACTTAACAAGATGGTAGATCACCTGATGGATCATGCGTAAATTATTTTGTTTTGTTTTTGTGCTTTAACAAATTACTTTCATGATTAGAGAGGCTACTGTCAGTTCTGCTGTGTCGGGAGATTGAAATTATCAATGACGATATGCTGCTGTACCTCATGCGTAATTGTGCACAGCGTCTTTCTCAATGGGGAGACAATTCACCCCCCCCACCACCCACCCAGCTATCAATCAAAAGGTTAGTTTTTATGACAAAACCCACCCAATCTGCAGATATAACTCTGCACATCACTAGAACCCACCAATGCAGTCACATCTTCACATTAGAATAATGCGCCCATTAAATTGTAGTGAAAGTAACTCAAAATTAGTGTAAAGCATCTATAATGTATTACATTTTGGAAGTAACTTGTCCAACACTGGTCATAAACCAAAGGATAAGACATGAAAAATTTTACCTCTTGGCGATTGACTGAAGTCATAGTATCACCAAAGTTGCTTAAATTCATCATGAAGGGAACATGAATATGTGTACCAAATTTCATGGTAATCCATCATATAGTATGACATCTTACTTAAAACTATAAATGTCACCCCGACAGTGGTGCTAGAGGAAAAGACAGAGGTTCACCGAAGTCAGTAGGATTCATCTTCTGATCACAAATGTCTACAAAATTTCATGCCACACTCCACCTTGTAGTTGATATAGATATAGATTTCCTCTAGGCCAACATGGTGGATTGACCGACAGACCACCATTACTAGAGTCACTAGCGTGGATAAATAACCTATTTTTCATCATCTCATGTCAAATACCATCCTGGTGTCAGTGGGTGCCACGGTAGCACAACGGGTGGGTTTTTTTATTATTTTATCATGTGTAGCAAACACCTTTCCCCCACATTTAACATGGTAAAACTGCTTAAAACTGTCACTTTACCACAAATGTTTTTTTTTTTTTCTATGCCTCCCAGTTAAAATTGAAGAAAGTCTTTTATAAAATGGTATGTAGTACTGTATGAAATTTGTCTTAGTATACGACTGTTTGGTTTTGTTATATCTCTATAGTCTTTCTGTAGATCTACTTTTTGTGGTAGTCTTATATGTGTCAGTTATGTAAGGGAAGGGTTCTGTAAGCGAAAGTTATGACTATGACTATTTTAGCTTTCTTTCCTTCATAAATTTGCTGAAGAAACAAAATAAAATTTATTTCCAGAGGAAGCCCCCTGGAAGTGGAGCTGTGTCTTTTAAACCAGATGACGACACTGACTCCTCCTGCTTCTTCAGCTACGGCTAACATGCTGAATTAATGGAATACTGTAGGCTAATGCTAATATATCAAAAGGTCCTGCTGCCATTAAAGCCATCTAAAGCCCTTGTTCAAGGCTTTGTTGCATGACAACAACAGTTTGGGGAAAAGCCGCCCTTCATGCCAGTGTACACTTGTCTCACGGTAACAAAAAGCCCAGGGATGTTGTTACAGAGCAGCTGATACTGTAGCAGTGAGCAACGATTTGCTAGCCAGCGCTACTAAGGCAGTGCAGGGTAAGGAATGCACTAGCAGCAGGACAGGGCCAAGACCAGGCCTGTGCATGAGAGAGAGAGAGAGAGAGATTGTGTGTTGCTAGGTCTAAAGCCCTCACTACAGTCTGATGATTGTTCTCGGGTGCAAGCCGACTGCCTGGGAACTCCATCAGAAAGACAGAGATAGAAGCAGAGAAAAGTAAAGGTGCAGGAGGAGCAACAGAACGATCAAAAGACCCATCAGAGCGATGAAGGAGAAACAAGAAGTGCAGCAGGCGGAAAAAGAGCGAACTAAATACCTGAATAAAGGAGGGCAATCACAGAATAGAACACAATAATGGCAACCAGAATAAAAAGCTCAGCATGAATCAACAGAAATAAACCTGTCAAGAGTTTTTCTCTACAACAAAAAGGGACATTTTACATTTTTGTCTTTTACCATATTATATCAAAATTATCTCACACCATGCTAATTTGTAATTTTGACAACTTGAATGAAATAAAAACTGATTACAACTTAATGCTAAAAGGAACAGTCCATCGTAATTTGCCTTTAAAAGAGTTAAAAGGCATACAGCTATTACGATGCGACCTGGAATTTATGAGCCTGTAGTTTTTTCATTCAGAGTGAAAAAGCAAAGGTGTCTTTCTAGAGATGCTATCCTGCACTGAAATTCAACAATAATACAGAGAAAATGTCATCATGCAAGACACAAAGATACACATTTTCTCAGTAACAACACCAGAATGCACTGCAGCCAAGACTTGCTTTGACTGAGGGGCATTTTTCTCACTTGTTACCACTGGTTTTTACTGTCACCATCAGGAACAAACGTTTAGGAGAGG